TTGGGCAGACACATGCCTGGCATGAGTTTAAACCATTGAGTCTGGGACTCGAACCATGGTCGACTTTGTGGGAGTCCAGCAAGGTAACCATTATGCCATCCTCCATTCCCCCAATTTAATTCCTTTGTATGTGGATATTCAGTTTTTCTGACAGCAGTAGCGGAAAAGACTATCTTTTCACCATTAAATGGCCTCAGGCTTCTTCTCATTGGGATATTTTTAATTACTTGCTCAACCTCTTTATTTGCTGTATGTCTGTTCTCACTTTCTACTTCTTTTTGTGTAGAAATAGTAAATTCTGTTCCTTCAGGAACTGGTCCATTCAGTAGCATGAGTCCCATACATGAGCTGCCCAAGATATCTAACACCTCCAGGCCTCCATTCCTCTGTTGTAAGACCAACGCGCGACTGTTAGCAAAAGAGAGTGCGCTCTCAAAGGCCTTCCGTGGCGGCTAACGCGACCCTTATTAGCAGGGTGCTGTCACTGATCTTATTCCTTCTTTCTTTCTTTAGTTTTAGTTTAGGTTTTTGTTTGTTTTTTGTTTTTGTTTGTTTGTTTATTTGTCATAGGGCATGTGTGCTCACTGGAGAGAGACAGAGAGAAACAGAGAGAGGAGAAGTGAGAAATGACAACCCCCCTCCCCCCCGCCCAGTCAGGGGGATGGCCATGTCGCAATCCCTTCTCCTCCGCCCAGTCAGGGGGATGGCCATGTCCTTCTCGGGATTTGGGCATGCATGCAGAAGCCCCTGGCATGACTTTCAGGCCATCAGACCTGGGACTCGAACCACCATTGGCCATGTGGGAGTCCAGCACCTTAACTACCACACCACCTGCTGGCCCCTGATCTCATTTTTATTATTCTAATCAAGGCGACTGAATCTCAGCCAGACATAACCCTGCAGCCCACCCCAAAATCATAATCGTCTTTTTCTACTTTGACTCCTCTATCAGACCAGATGAGACCAATGTGTTTCAAAGCATACTTGTCTCACCTATTCAGGAGGTGCCAGAAGGCTGTGCTTCCAGCCACATTCCTTGTCTGCTTCAGTCAAGGACAAGGCACTAGTGTCACCCAAAAGCTATGAGGCAGGTCCATAGAAACAAGATGCAAAAAACAGGCCCCAAATACATTTCCGAAGGAGAGTGACAGCCAAACCTGGGGACTCCTCAATTCACCCCACCTCGTCTGGGGTGTATGGGCTCTCTAGTGGCATGGCACTGTGAACGGGGCTTTCTGTGGAACCTCTTCTCTGCAGCCTGCTGCATGACCAGGCCGGCCCAGTGGGCTGGGCTTTGTGCCCCTGGACGGACTGGCTCTTGCAATAACAGATGTCTTGGAAGAGTACAGAGACCTACAAGACAGTGGTTCTCCTAAAAGCCCACCTACCTCTGCCCATGGGGTCTTCTGACAGATCAGGAGAAGACCCAACATGCAAACCCTCCCCTTGATCCCCGGCAATGACTAAAATGCGGCTCCCTGGAATTTTCTGGTCCTCTACCTACGTGCATGCACAGGTGCACACAATTGTCTGACTGTCCCCACTGTCTGCTGCACTCTCCCAGCTCCCAGCCAACAATCAGCAGAAACTCTCATTTCCCTGTCTTCCTGAGGGGTCTTCACCTGCTCTCATTCCAGCTGAAACACGACATGCCCCCTCACCTCCTGAAAACCTGCTCTTCAGAGCTCACGTCGCCCACTGTCCTTCCCCCTGCAGGCTTCTGTTTGTCCCCACGTCTACTACAGCAGTAGCGGAAAAGACTATCTTTTCACCATTAAATGGCCTCAGGCTTCTTCTCATTGGGATATTTTTAATTACTTGCTCAACCTCTTTATTTGCTGTATGTCTGTTCTCACTTTCTACTTCTTTTTGTGTAGAAATAGTACATTCTGTTCCTTCAGGAACTGGTCCATTCAGTAGCATGAGTCCCATACATGAGCTGCCCAAGATATCTAACACCTCCAGGCCTCCATTCCTCTGTTGTAAGACCAACGCGCGACTGTTAGCAAAAGAGAGTGCGCTCTCAAAGGCCTTCCGTGGCGGCTAACGCGACCCTTATTAGCAGGGTGCTGTCACTGATCTTATTCCTTCTTTCTTTCTTTAGTTTTAGTTTAGGTTTTTGTTTGTTTTTTGTTTTTGTTTGTTTGTTTATTTGTCATAGGGCATGTGTGCTCACTGGAGAGAGACAGAGAGAAACAGAGAGAGGAGAAGTGAGAAATGACAACCCCCCCTCCGCCCAGTCCCCCGCCCAGTCAGGGGGATGGCCATGTCGCAATCCCTTCTCTGGATTTGGGCATGCATGCAGAAGCCCCTGGCATGACTTTCAGGCCATCAGACCTGGGACTCGAACCACCATTGGCCATGTGGGAGTCCAGCACCTTAACTACCACACCACCTGCTGGCCCCTGATCTCATTTTTATTATTCTAATCAAGGCAACTGAATCTCAGCCAGACATAACCCTGCAGCCCACCCCAAAATCATAATCGTCTTTTTCTACTTTGACTCCTCTATCAGACCAGATGAGACCAATGTGTTTCAAAGCATACTTGTCTCACCTATTCAGGAGGTGCCAGAAGGCTGTGCTTCCAGCCACATTCCTTGTCTGCTTCAGTCAAGGACAAGGCACTAGTGTCACCCAAAAGCTATGAGGCAGGTCCATAGAAACAAGATGCAAAAAACAGGCCCCAAATACATTTCCGAAGGAGAGTGACAGCCAAACCTGGGGACTCCTCAATTCACCCCACCTCGTCTGGGGTGTATGGGCTCTCTAGTGGCATGGCACTGTGAACGGGGCTTTCTGTGGAACCTCTTCTCTGCAGCCTGCTGCATGACCAGGCCGGCCCAGTGGGCTGGGCTTTGTGCCCCTGGACGGACTGGCTCTTGCAATAACAGATGTCTTGGAAGAGTACAGAGACCTACAAGACAGTGGTTCTCCTAAAAGCCCACCTACCTCTGCCCATGGGGTCTTCTGACAGATCAGGAGAAGACCCAACATGCAAACCCTCCCCTTGATCCCCGGCAATGACTAAAATGCGGCTCCCTGGAATTTTCTGGTCCTCTACCTACGTGCATGCACAGGTGCACACAATTGTCTGACTGTCCCCACTGTCTGCTGCACTCTCCCAGCTCCCAGCCAACAATCAGCAGAAACTCTCATTTCCCTGTCTTCCTGAGGGGTCTTCACCTGCTCTCATTCCAGCTGAAACACGACATGCCCCCTCACCTCCTGAAAACCTGCTCTTCAGAGCTCACGTCGCCCACTGTCCTTCCCCCTGCAGGCTTCTGTTTGTCCCCACGTCTACTCTTCCCATCGCTCCACAGAGGTGGGTCCGCTGCTGCTCCTTCTCTGCCCTTTGACCTGCTGGTCCCTGACTCCCACGACTCTCTCCTGGACCCGGCCAGGCCTCACTGCACGCATCTCACCCTCACCACACATCACCCACCCTCAGCTCCCTCCTCCACACCTGAACCCCGGACGATAAGCACCCAGTCCAGCACCCCCCCCACACACCACCCAGATGACCACACCTCTCTGGGTTCTCTCTCCCTCCTCACATGTGGCTGGGAAATCCCCACTCTGGACACCCCCCCCTTCCCACGGTGCCCAGGTGGACACGGCAGAGCACAGCTCCCATGGCCTGGGCCCCTGCTCAAGAGTCTGGGCACGGCCTGCAGCATCCCCTCACCTCTCCCTGTCTCCTGATCCATGGCAGCGAGACTTGTCTCACCAAGAGCAACAGGAAACTGTTTCTATGAAGGTCGCCAGCGGCCTCCCCCTTCTCAGTCACCATCTTACTTTACTTCCCAGCATTTCAGGGGCTGCTCAGCCTGCCCCTCTCCAGATAGATCTTCCTTGGTCTCGGGCACCTCTCAGCCTGCTGCACCTGCCTTCCTGACTAGACCCTCAGGTCCGGACCCAGTTCTCTTTTCATTCCCTGTGTGGTCCTGGGCAGTCCTCGGCCTTTTCCTCACGCCACATTCTTGTTTTATTGTTTTCTTTGCCAGAGAGGGAGGAGACAGATGCGGGCGGGGGGAAGCGCACCCCAGTGGGACACACCACACCACACCTGTCTCCTCCATCTCTCCGTCCTGTTGGGATTGGGGTCCACATTCTTTCTCCATGTCAATGCTCCTCAAAGGTTAGCACACGCAGAGTCACCTCGAGAGCGTCTTAAAGCTCAGAATCCAGGATCTGGTGAGCCTGGGCAGAGGCCCCGGGACCTGCCTCTCTCAGTGGCACTCGGGACAGTGGACTAAACTTTGCAGAGCCAGGGCCAGAGGGCAGGCGTCTCGACTCCCTCCTGAGCCCACTCTGTAGTCCCTCCTCCCACCCCTTCCCTCTTGTGGCGCACCTGCCCTCCCCAGAGAAGGTGCCCTACCCACGTTAGTCCCAGAAAGGACCTGCTCGGTAACGAGCTCCCATGGGCCCTGCCTGGACTTCCACGGAAAGGTTTGGTGTTTCCAGGGACCAGCACCATATTTGTCGCCCATCTTGTCAGCTCCCCCCGACCCCAGCCACCCTTCACTGCCTTCTCTAGGCCAATCAGCTCCTGCTTACTGCTGCCCTGCCCTCACCACCCACATGGAGACCACAGCCAAAGAGATCATGTCCCTACTCCTGCTCAAAGGTCCCAGAGGCTTTTGGGAACCAAACTAGAAACCAAACCCACACCCTGGGCTCAGACGGCCAGCCTCTCTGGACGGCTGTGCATGTCCCAGCACCATGGTGAACACCCTAGAAGCTGAAAACCACAGGGCAGAAGCCCCCTGGAAAGGCAGCTCCTTTCTGTGGGAGCCCAGGAGGGGCCCTGGGAGTTCATTACTGAGTGAGTCCTTTCTAGGCCTGAAGACACCATCTCTAAGAAATCAAGGGCCAGTGACTGAATGGAACCTGCTGAGATGTGCCTGAGTCGAAGCTGGGGTCGGCAGGAGGCCTCAGGGCCTCAGAACTACAAGACGTCAGGCGTGGGCCCTGGGACAGCACCTGACGGGACTCACCAGGAAGGAGCACAGGAAGATGAAGGAGACGAAGTAGAAGTAGGCAAAGTCGCTCCCGCACTCGCTGGCGTTGGCAAGCCTGTCACAGGCCCGGTGGCTGAGACAAGACAGCATGATCTCATGCCAGGCCTCCCCGGTGGCACTCCTGAGAAGAAGGCAGAGCTGTGACCCACAGGGGCCTGGGAAGGGACAGCCTCGGCTGTACCCAGAGCCTCGCCAGCCAGGACTGGGGCCTGAGCCTCAGGACAGTTGGGTTCCCCCCACGCACAAAAGGCCTTGGAGGACGGCTGTCTCTTCAGGACCTCTGGCAGTAGATTTCCACCCTGAGTGTCAACCCAGGAGCGTGTTTACCGAAAGCTCCTCTCACTGCCAGGAGCCAGCACCACAGGGACATCTGTTTGTGGACAGGAACCTGGCTGGGCCCTGACCTCCGCCCAGGCTCGTGCCATGCCAACCCTGTTTCGAGATGTGGTGGCCATCCTTCCGGCTGCTCAGCCAGCACTGGGAAAAGTCCCTGTTGCTCCTCCCTCTCTCCATGCCTATCTGTCAGCTCATCCACCTTCAGACAGCCAGACTCTTCCAGGTCTCTTGCCACGCTGGCATGACAGTGTTTGGCCTCCCCAGACAGTAACCCAGTGGGTCTACAGCACAGGCCAGATCCGGTCACCTCCCTGTCCGGCGACTCCTCCCACTCACCAGAAAACCCAGCATTCACACAACGGTCCACAGCCCATAGGACCTGCTGTCCACACTTCCCATGACCTCCCCCTGCCTCGCCCCTGCTCAGTCCACTCCAGCTGCCTCAAACCCTCAAGGACATGCCCACCCTGGGCTTGGGCAGCCACTGGGATCCTGCCTGGACTCATGTCCCTGGGCACACTGCAGCAGGAGGGCAAGAACCTGGGTCCTATCTCCACATACCCACCTGGCCACTGCTCCCTGACGATGGCCAGGATGGGGCTTTCTGCTGGGCTGCACTCCAGCCCACGTGGGGCCTGACGTGGAGGGCGCATCACATGACACAAGGCTCAGGAAGAACAAATACCTTTCAGATCGAGGTTCAAAACAAAGGCTGACTCCAGAGGTCTCCCTGACAGCCTTTGTGGCATGAGATGGAATATTCGTAAATGAAGAAAGAGACTTAGTGCCACAGCAGAAGCCCAAAGAGACAGCACCACTGTGGGGCGCCAGCCTCCCAGAGCGCGTCCATTTCACACGAAGCAGCAAGAATAGACGGTCTCTGCTAGCTCGGCAAAGCGTGTCTAGGTCTGAGATGGCCCACCGAGAGCTGACCACGCCTGAGGGTGGGAAGGACTGCGCCGGGCACCCCAAAGCTGGCCTTGTAGCAGCCACGCAGTTATGGAAATGAACAGAAGTGGTGAGGTCGATCTGAGACCTTGGGAAAGAAACCAAGGCAGGATCTGAGGCCAGCCCTTCCTCCACCATAAATCCCTGTGAAGTACTTCTCTTTCATCTGTGGGTCATGGGTAGCAAGCGGCAGACCCCTGCCCTAGACCCCAAGGTCCCTGCCAAGACCAGAGGGTCTTACAGCGCCATCTGCAGACAGTACCCTGCCCCAGCACAGCAGCTGGCACCAAGCCTTCCCCCAGTCAGCCATGAACCTTGTGCCAAGGGACCTCAGCCCTTCAAGGCTCCACCAGCTGCTTTGTTCACTGCACCCAGGAGCCCAGAGACTGTGGCACCCATGACATGATGACAGTGCAGGGGCTCACGGGCCCTGAACCTGCTGCTGCATGGCCACTGGTCGACACGACACCATGGAAGTGGAGGCTACACACTGTGGAGACCTGTGGGCACCTCTGCCTTCCCTGTCACTCTGGCCGCAGCCTCACCAGAGCTGTTCGGCCATCACCAGGGAACAGAAAAGGGCCGTGGAGGCTGGCCTGGCCTATGGCAGACACCAACAGCCCTTTGGAAAGAGGGCGCAGAGGGAGGAGAGGAACAGC